CGGTTACTTTCTGAGCTCCTTGGTACCTGAGCCTGGGGATAAAGTCATCAGGTAGATTTCAATGGTAATGTTTTTCACCTCTACTAATTAACATGAAGCAAATTTTTATGCTTCTTCCTTCAAATATCTCATTTTTAAAATTTGTTGATTTCTCTGTGTGTGTGTGTGTGTGTATTTAATACAGAACATCCCAAATGATCTTATTCATCTATACATCCACATCCCAAATGGCACCCTTCATAGGCACCCCCACTGGAGCCCATATACTCGGTCATCCCTGTTACTGTCCACTGTGTTGTCGGCACCCCAAGCCATTCCCAGTGATTGTCCATCTGCTGAGTCTAGTCAGCCTATCAAGAATTGCTTATTTTAGGGAGATCAGCTCTTCCTCATCTAGCAGCAATCAGTTGCCAATATTCCTTTAGATAAGATTGGGGTCTGCTGTTTATTTTCCCACTTCTATACTGGGTTATTGTCTGGGAGTCTCTTGGTCCAGGCTGGGCAACAACTCAAAGGAAGGTATCTCCTGTCTGGCATTGTTTCTTGTTATGTAGCATTTAGCTATACAAATGGACTCTTAAAGAATTATACAGATCCCTTTAATCTTGGTTATACTTTCCTTTTGGTTGTTTAAGACCATACAGTTGGCCCAGATAAACCAATTTATTTTTACTCTTAAGGTCATTTGAAGATCTATTCATCTGGGGTCAAATGGGCTTGGGAGGAGCCCCTGGCTCCTTTCTTTTCCAAGTTCCATCTATGTGAAGATAAGTCAAAGGTCCTACTCAACCATGGCTGGCTTCACTTGGAAGCATGGAAGAAATGTTTTCTCTGTGTTGATCCTCCTTTTTGTAGACTGGACACTGGTTCAAATTCATCTGGTGGGGTCTCCACGGCCTCCTTGATCAAGAGGACAGGTGACTTACCAACATTACAGGATATTTTGAGAGATGCTCTATAGTACCCTAGAACTTAGTCAACCTTGGAGGGCAAGGAACAAAAACTGTCCTTTAAGTCCCTCTGACCAAATTAGTATAGGCCTCAAAGTATGTTCCACCAGTCTGGTACTTTTAATTACTGTGTGATATGTAGATAAAGCTTGGGCAAAGACCAAAGGTTCTCAGATAAACCTTGCCTAGCACATATTGTGTTCCTTGAGCTAGTTGTATGTATAGTTTGTCAGTAGGTTGTTGGACTAATATGGTTCTCTCTGGGTTATTTTTTAAAAACTAGCTAGGCATTATTTATCTCTCACATTGTCTAGCCCTTCCACTATGGTTTCCCCATTTAAAGTGCCCCCATTTCTCCTACTTCTCCCTTAATAAGACCCTTCTCCTATGGTGGGAACATAGAAGTCCTATGGACCTTTTGAGCTATTTCTTTTCCTTTATCCCCAAGGTTCCCTGTATAACCCTCCCTCCACCCTCCCCTTAAAATAACCCCATTTTTATCCATATCTCCCTTATTAGTGCCTGTTTCCTATTGCTCTTTTCTTTCAGATTCTTTCTTTTCCTTTACCTCCCCGGTTCCTTTTCATTATCCTGGTTCCTGAAGTTATGTCTTCATACATACTCACTTATAAGGATTTGGTGCTAGGATCCACATATGAAGGAGAACATACATCATTTGTTTTTCTGAGTCTGTGTTACTTCACTTAGTATAACAGTTTCTAGTTCCATCCATTTACCTGCAAATTTCATTATTTCATCTTTCTTTACTGCTGAGTAAAAGTCCATTGTATAAATGAACCACATTTTCATTATCCACTCGTCAGTTGAGGGGCACTTAGGTTGCTTCCATCTCTTAGCTATTGTGAAAAGAGCAGCAACAAACATGGATGTACAAGTGTCTCTGCAATAGGATGAGTTCTTTTGGTATATGCCAAGGAGCAGTGTAACTGGGTCAAATGGTAGGTTCATTTTTAGATTTTTAAGAGTTCTCCACACTGCTTTCCATAGGGGTTGATTGAATAAGTTTGCAGCCCCACCAGCAGTGGATGAGCGTTCCCCTTTCCCCACATCCTCTCCAACAATTGGTATCATTTGTTCTCTTGATCATAGCCAGTCTGACTGGGGTAAGATAAAATCTTAAAGTGGTTTTATTTTGCTTTTCCCTAATTACTAACGATGTTTAACACCTTTTGCTTCTTAGCCATCTTCATTTCTTCTTTGGAGAACTCTCTGTTCAGCTCCTTAGCCCATCTTTTAATTGGAAACTTCCTTTCTTGATTCTTTGTTTTTTGAGTTCATTATATACTCTGGATGTTAAACCTCCATCATATGTGTTGCTGGTGAAACTTTTCTCCCATTCTGTGGGTTTTCTCTTCACTTCCATGGTTGCTTCTTTTGATGGACAGAAGCTTTTTAGTTTAATGAGGTCCCATTTGTTGATTCTTGACCTTGTTTCCTGAGCAATTGATGTCCAGTTTAGAAAGTCCTTTCATACACCTATATCTTGTAGATTATTGCCAATGTTTTCTTTTAACAGTTTCAGAGTTTCAGGCTTCACTCTGAGGTCTTTGATCCATTTGGAGTTGACTTTTGGGCAAGGTAAAAGATAGGGGTTTAGTTTCATTCTTCTACAGGCAGAGATCTAGTTTTGCCAACACCATTTGCTGAACATGCTGTCTTTCCTCCACTGAATGTTCTTGGCCCCTTTGTCAAATATCAGGTGGCTGAAATTATGTGTACTCATATTTGGGTCTTCAATTTTGTTCCATTGATCTATTGGTCTATTTTTTGTGCTAATACCATGTTGTTTTTATGAGTGTAGCTCCGTAATACAGCTTAAAATCTGGTATAGTAATCCCCCTGACATTGCTCTTAGTTCTCAGGGTTGCTTCGGCTATCTGAGGTCTTTTGTACTTCCATATGAAACTTACGATGATTTTTTCCAATTCTGTGAAGAATGTCATGGGGATTTTGATTAGCATTGCATTGAATCTATAAATGGCTTTTGGTAAGATAGTCATTTTCACAATATTAATTCTTCCAATCCATGAGCATGGGAGGTCCCTCCATCTTCTGATGTCTTCCTCAATCTCTTTCTTTAAAGATTTAAAATTTTCATCGTAGAGCTCTTTAATGTCTTTGGTCAGGGTTATTCCGATTTTTTTTTTTTTGCAGCTATTGTGAAAGGGAGTGTTTCCATGTACTCTATCTCTGATTGCTTGTTCATGGTATATAAAAGGCTGCAGACTTTTGTAGATTAATTTTGTAACCTGCCACTTTACTGAACACTGAACAAGTTTTAGGAGTTTTCCTGTAGAATTTTTGGTGTCTATTAGATATAATATCATATCTGCAAAAAGGGATAATATGATCTCTTCCAATTATTACTCTTAATGTTCTTCTCTTATTGCTCTTGCAAGTGTTTCAAGAACTATGTTAAAAAAGTGGAGATAGTGGAGAGCCTTGCCTGGTTCCTGATTTCAATGGGAGTGCTTCTAGTTTTTCTTCATTTAGAATGATGGTGGCTTTGAGTTTGTTGTATATAGCTTTAATTATGTTGAGGTATGTTCCCTCCAGTCCAATTCTTTCTGGTACTTTGAATCTAAATGCTTGTTGTATTTTGTCAATGGCCTTCTCTGCATCTATTGCGATGACCATGTGGTTCTTGTCTTTGAG